TCTTACCTTTTTATAATCTGAAGAACCTTCTTTCGCCACAAAGAACCTTTTGTGAAACAGAAAGGTTATTCAGATGTTAAAGGTTCTTTATGGAAACATTTAGACAAAAAAGGTTCTTCTATGGCATCGTGAAGCACCTTTATTTTTAAGAGTGTAACACAGTGATTGATTGTGTTATGACGTTCTCTTCCAGGACTCTCCTCAGTTCAAGCCCAACCACGCAGAGCTGGTTCTAGCTAATCCCAGTCCAGTGTTAATCTATCAGATCTCCTCCAATGAAACTCGGGTTCTGGTGGACATCAGAGGAGAGATGCCTCGAGACCTTATGCGGTACATGACGGAAAAAATCTATCCACAACTACCAGGTATCAGATTTAGACTTTAAAATGACCAAATTGCTAATACGAGTCCTTTTTTACAGTCACAGTTATTTCAGTTTTATTTCTTTACAGATCACAACAATGCAATTTAGGCATTTAGATGTCAAAATGCTCACAAATATGTGTATCTTGCTTAAACAGAGCACTTAAAAGAGCCGTTCATGTTGGCACTGCAGAACGATCGCTTGAGAACGATGCCTGCCAGCTTCCTGCCACCCGCACCAGTCAATAAAGAAGGTAAGCCTTGTTTATTACTTAACCCAAACTTTTGAATGGTAGTGTATCATGGTTTCCACAAACAATATTAAGCAGCACAACTGTTTTCAACATTGATGATAATCAGAAATGTTTCCTGAGCAGCAAATCAGCATTTTAGAATGATTTCTGAAGGATCATGTGACACTGAAGATTGGAGTAATGATGCTGAAAATACAGCTTTGCATCACAGGAATAAATGACATTTTAAAATATATTAAAATAGAAAACAGCCTTTTAAATTTGTAATAATATTATTGCATCTCTGATCAAATAAATGCAGTTGTGGTTAGCATAAGACACTTAATCAGAAAAATTTAATGTTGGAATAATTAAGTTTTAAAGCATTAGAACTCTCAAATGTAGATGTTACATAAAAGTGGAACAGTAAAAATGAAATAAGGTTTGAACCTTAAAAACCCTGACCAGATGCACAGAGTGAAATGGTGCAGTTTTCCATATAAAAACCACTGTTGCGAGTGCTGACCCACCCGTCTTCTCCATTAGGGGTTCTGCTGTTAGGCGATGCGTATAACATGCGTCATCCTCTGACCGGTGGCGGCATGAGTGTGGTGCTGAATGACGTCCGCATCTGGAGAGACCTGCTCAAGAACATCCCTGATCTCTATGACAATACAGCTGTGCTCCAGGTAACACACGCAGTTACAATAATCTGAGAGTGTAAAATTAGGTACCTTTCTAGTGCCAGTAATTGCGGTTCTTCACTGCACACTAAATCAAAACAACATATTTAACATCAACTTTGTTGCAAAACATAGTTGCCTACATACTATAGGTAGCATAAGATGCACAGTAAAATATCTTTTGATTGCTAAACGGAAAACTATTTTACCCAGTATTTGTGGTTTATATATACATTTATGCTTATTAGATTAGGCACTTGCAATGTAATTGCAAATGTAAGTAGGCAGTAGACAGTAAGGCACCTCAAATGCACAAATCTGTTTTGGAACAGATTGCATTGGATGAATGTTTAAATGCCACTGTGATCATCATAGCGGATCGGAGAAATGTTGTTTTTGTTGTCAGGCAAAGAAGAAATTCCACTGGGAGCGTAAATCATCTCACTCGTTTGTGGTGAACGTCTTGGCTCAAGCTCTGTACGAGCTGTTTGCTGCGACCGACAGTAAGTGTCAAAACACATTCTTAAATATTTCGGTTTCACAGTTTAAAAAAAAATCATAAAGTTCACAACTAAAGTAGCTTATTATATCGAAAACATCTGTGTATTTTCAGATTCACTGCATCAGTTGAGAAAAGCCTGTTTCCACTATTTCAAGCTTGGCGGAGAATGCATCAGTGGGCCGATCGGCCTTCTGTCTGTGTAAGTAGTAACAAAGAATCTGCCAAATCAATGTCTTTCACTGGTTCTGGCAGATATCTGAGATCTTTTTACACCACTAATCTGTCTTCGTTTCCTCAGATTGTCGCCGAAACCCTTTACTCTGATCGGTCACTTTTTCGCTGTGGCGTTATACGCCATATACTTCAGCTTCAGGTCTGAATCCTGGCTCACGATTCCACGAGCGCTGGTCAACAGCGCAGCCATCCTATACAGAGCCTGTGCCGTCATGCTTCCTCTCATTTACTCGGAGTTACAGTACCTGATTTACTAGGAAGGAACTTCTTTCAAACTGATTTCTTCAGTCGGTGAACGTGACACATCTGACAATGTTGGCCACATCCGAGTGCCTCATTTTTTTGGGAAAAAGGGATTCATGTCAGACATACTGCACAAGGAACGAGTCACTGATGAGGAAATGCATAAGGTGTCTGATATTAACAGACAAAGACCCTGCCTTATATTTTCATACACTAAGTGTAAGTTAATGATGTAGTGAAATTTGCCTTACCCTGCAATTAAATGAGGGAAAATCCTGTGCTGTATTTTCACGTCTATATGAAATAGCATTTACAAACCATTTCTTATGCAATCTGTTTCTGAGGAATATGCATTACGTGAGTAAATCTGGTCAATATTAAGTTTTCAGTCAGAAATGCATGTTTTTAAGTGCAAAATAAGTTCATTCAATTCATAATGATTAAACCACTAGGCTGCTGGACTTGTAAAATTGTGTAGTTGTTTTAATTGTTTTCAAGAACCAAGGAAAATCAATGGGACTGCATCTCATTTGTTAGCTGAAGTAATTGTTTTCCTTTTCATGTATTGCTTTATTGTGGTTTCAGAGTTTTTCAAAATTGTGTCCATTTGTCACGGTTTTCGCATGGGGCCTTCCATTATCTATCTGTTGTTTAAAAACGGTTTTCAAGTCAACATTTAGTAAAAAATTCTATGTGCAATGAATATGGCATTCAGTGTAGATTAAAATCATGTGGATGTTTACTGAACGAAGACGAGCTTTAATGTGAGCTTTACTTGGTTTCTGAGGTTAACTAATTCAGCCATGAGCTCGTGGCTCTGTGTAGCCACTCTATGGACTGTTCTTTCAAATAATTTGTCCTCTTTGTATACTGATATCGAGTCATATAGTTTGACAGACTGGAATGACCCAGTGGCATTTGAGAACCTGTTTTACAGGCTTGTCTGTGGGATAAATAACTACAGTAAAAGCAACATTTTGTGCAAAACACAGTATGTCCACCAGGTGGCGCACCAGCAGGATGAAAACAGCGTCACTCCGAACTTGTAAACAAAATAAAAAGATTAAAAAACATGATTCTACATCTGCGTCAGTGCTACAGTTGCAAAGCTCTCGATATATCTTGTCAATGAGTGAAACGGAGCTGTCATTGCAACCAGTCATATCATAACAGCCTCAAAACCCTTCCTACAAGCACTGCCCCTCCTATTTTCACACCCATCATAATCAGAGAGCGACTTATAACAGACGCGTTCGGCGTCTTTTGATGTGAATTCAAATTACATTTAATTTTTGCAGTTTAAAATATGGCTATTACCCTCGCTAATACCATAACTCTGAAACTTATTTAGTCAGAATACATAATTTAAATAAAATCAATTTAAAAATGTTTAAAGTAAAAGGCAATTTTTTCTTTCTGCTCCAGCCACTCCCCTGAAACAGTTTGGTGATCCGCTCAGTTTGCCACAGATGAAATGAAGTACCACCTTACATACAGTACCTATCTAAATGAATATGCAATTTCACTCAGAAAATACGGATTACACAAGTAAATGGGTTGAGGTAGTACTTCATGTTGACATAGACTTCCTCCCTGAACCAAATTAAGGAGATTTATGCATGAATGTACCATTACTTTTCCCTTTACACAAGTGTTATCATAGTAAAGTTATGTTTTACATATATATACACCACAAGCCTGAATGACTGAATGCCATGTTATATGAATGACCATAATGATAAAACATGGCATTTGCATGATATTACCTTCCAAAATACTATGGTATTGACATGATAAATTAATTAATTTACTTGTTTATTTTGTGGTGAAGAGACCAAAAAAAAAACCCATAAGAGACCCGATTCTGTCCCAGGTTACAACAATTTATTAGTATTCATTGTTCTTTATACATCACTGTAACATTATATTCCGGTGAATTAGATGAAGGATTTGCTGCACTTCTCGTCAGTGACTCTGAAAGGACGTTTGCGTTCCTCTCGCTGTGTGCACAGTCAATCTAGACACCGAAAAACCCAAAAGACCAGACAAAAAACCCGCTGGGACAGGACACGTGAGAAGAAGAGACTTTCCCTGCTGGAGTCCGTCACATTCGACCCTGTGCTCGACCGCTGAGACTTTTCCTCTCCACAGTAGCAGCAAGCTCTTTATAAACGATTCATTTACTCTATGATCTAAAAGACAAATAAACAAAAATATATACTGTACTGCTACTGCTAATGAGGCCTGAAGAACCTGGCTTGAAACTAGATTTATAAAGTGCGAGAAGCAACCCACCAATCCACACACTGTATATTCGTTAATATATTTATATATATAGGAACAAATCTACTATTTTAACATTAATTTACAGGATAATATACAATATATTAGTAACAGCTGAGATATCAGCACAAAAAA